TATTAAGATACAGTCTAGCAAATACAACTACTGTCCATTATTCAACATTATCAGACCTTATCCTCGCTATGCCTCATCTTTCTCTCATTGTTCTATACATGTTCACATTTAAAGAAATACTTGTTTCTTCACAAGTACTTGATAGTGAAGAGATCATACAATTGCCAGGAAGTGCAAAAATCAAAAGAAAGAAGTGGTATAGTGAGAATAAAGGCCATTTAAATAAGCAACCCCATCCCTTGACTTGTGGCTTTAATGTGGTGCACTTGAAAAGTGGGTGCAGGCTTCTGAAGAGTATAAGATGCTTAAATAAAAAGAGTCCAACTGACTGCTACGTAACATTAACTTGCCATGTTTACTCTTCCATTGAAGAGAAAATTGTCGCAACAGAAAAGTGAACACTCAAAAGCATGCAGCTTTGCAGAAAAAAAAAAAAAGAAAACATAAATCCTGGACGGAACAAGCAGTGCTGAGGGTCTGTCAAATTAAAGTGACAATCCTTTAGAAGAGATGCATTTTCGCTTAAAATTGAAACTTTATAGAGAATTTCTAAATTTTTTCACTACACAGAACACTAAAGTTCAATTAGAAAAATTTTGCTCAAAATCGTGATTAATTTGTTATCTTGAAAATGGACAGGCCACCAAGTGTAACATGAATCTTGTTCAGTAACACTAAATATGAGACTTTGTTATAGCTGATTAAATGTAACAGAACAGCAGCATGCTAGAATCAATGCCTGTTATTAAATCAAGTAAGTGCAGTTCAATGAATGCCAGCTATTATGAAAATCGGAAATGGATTTTATAATTGAGAAGAGCATAATTAAGGATCTACTCAGTCTCTTTATCTTCAGATATTATTATGAAGCTATTGGTCATTACTATCTACAACCTTTTCTAGAAGAAAGGTTCTAGAAGAAAGGTTCAGCATTTTAACTGGCCATAAATAGGCGTTCTCTCTTTGTCACATTTTATCTACAAAGAAAAGTGTGAAGATTCTACAATAGCAAACAGGACTCAAAAGATAAATATTGAGGCCAGTAGGTGTCCTGGTGGTTAAGACACTGGACTCTTACATGGCTGGCTGCTGTTCTAGTCCCTGCCCTGGCAGCTTACTTTCTCACTTACCCTCTGCTCTCTCTGGTGAGCATGAATACCCTGTATCAATTTAAAAAACAACAATAATAATGATAAATTAAATAATTCTTTAGAAAAAAAGATAAATATTAAGTTAAAGGCACAGACCAAACTCCTTCTAGAGATAATATAAGTGATTACTACAAGGGCAAATTACATTTGCTACAGATAATTTATGTAAGAATAATGATCTAGACTCTTGGTAGCACTTATAATATGGAAAACCGAAAATTACATATTATAAGAAATAAACAATATCACAACTGCTTTTAAAAAACATTTTAAATATTTGGCATAATGCATAGCCTGCCTACTCAGAAACTATTTCATAAAAGTAATGTTCTTTTTTTGTTTGTTAAGGTTTTTGCCATAGGGCATGTGCACTCACCAGAGAGAGGGAAAGTAAGAAATCAGCTCCCCCTCTCCTCCATTGTCCTCTTGGGATTTTGAGTATGCATGCACATTCTCCCAGTGTGATTCTCAAGGGACTGGGTCCAGGACTCAAACCAGCAACTTGCCATGTTTACTCTTCCATTGAAGAGAAAATTGTCGCAACAGAAAAGTGAACACTCAAAAGCATGCAGCTTTGCAGAAAAAAAAAAAAAGAAAACATAAATCCTGGACGGAACAAGCAGTGCTGAGGGTCTGTCAAATTAAAGTGACAATCCTTTAGAAGAGATGCATTTTCGCTTAAAATTGAAACTTTATAGAGAATTTCTAAATTTTTTCACTACACAGAACACTAAAGTTCAATTAGAAAAATTTTGCTCAAAATCGTGATTAATTTGTTATCTTGAAAATGGACAGGCCACCAAGTGTAACATGAATCTTGTTCAGTAACACTAAATATGAGACTTTGTTATAGCTGATTAAATGTAACAGAACAGCAGCATGCTAGAATCAATGCCTGTTATTAAATCAAGTAAGTGCAGTTCAATGAATGCCAGCTATTATGAAAATCGGAAATGGATTTTATAATTGAGAAGAGCATAATTAAGGATCTACTCAGTCTCTTTATCTTCAGATATTATTATGAAGCTATTGGTCATTACTATCTACAACCTTTTCTAGAAGAAAGGTTCTAGAAGAAAGGTTCAGCATTTTAACTGGCCATAAATAGGCGTTCTCTCTTTGTCACATTTTATCTACAAAGAAAAGTGTGAAGATTCTACAATAGCAAACAGGACTCAAAAGATAAATATTGAGGCCAGTAGGTGTCCTGGTGGTTAAGACACTGGACTCTTACATGGCTGGCTGCTGTTCTAGTCCCTGCCCTGGCAGCTTACTTTCTCACTTACCCTCTGCTCTCTCTGGTGAGCATGAATACCCTGTATCAATTTAAAAAACAACAATAATAATGATAAATTAAATAATTCTTTAGAAAAAAAGATAAATATTAAGTTAAAGGCACAGACCAAACTCCTTCTAGAGATAATATAAGTGATTACTACAAGGGCAAATTACATTTGCTACAGATAATTTATGTAAGAATAATGATCTAGACTCTTGGTAGCACTTATAATATGGAAAACCGAAAATTACATATTATAAGAAATAAACAATATCACAACTGCTTTTAAAAAACATTTTAAATATTTGGCATAATGCATAGCCTGCCTACTCAGAAACTATTTCATAAAAGTAATGTTCTTTTTTTGTTTGTTAAGGTTTTTGCCATAGGGCATGTGCACTCACCAGAGAGAGGGAAAGTAAGAAATCAGCTCCCCCTCTCCTCCATTGTCCTCTTGGGATTTTGAGTATGCATGCACATTCTCCCAGTGTGATTCTCAAGGGACTGGGTCCAGGACTCACACCAGCCGGTCAGTCATGTGGGAGTCCCACGCCTTAACTACCATGCCACTAGCTGACCTCCCAAAATAATGCATTTTTCAAAGTGATCTTTAAAAAATTGTTCAAGTTGTGCAGTTTGATGTCTACTTGGCTTTCATTCCAGTTCTCACAGCTCTCCCGATTTCCCGAAGTTTATCTTTCATTATTAAAACTCTAAAAACAATGTATTGTTCTTCTTCCTTACCTTAATGCCAAATAAAAAAGTACCCACTAATAATATGACTAATATTTGTTTTAAAATGTCCATGCAATAACTTAAGTCGTAGCTTAAGGATACTCTCAGAAGACACCCTAGTCAAAACGAATTTGAACACGCATAGTTTACAAAATAACATGATGCCTTTTTTTCTTTTTGCATTACTGTTTACCCTCAAATCACCGTAATACACATTTTAAAAACATTAATCTTCCCCTATAAGCACAAAGCAAAACAAGAATACCCATCATCATTCTAGAAACAATGATTATATAATTTTAACATAATAAGGACTCAGATATTTTAAAATGATCACCTTACACCAATTTTTAGTTATATATGTTATATGTATATGCTCACTAATTGAAAAAAAATAGATACTGGTTCTATCTGTCTAGAACTTTTAATACACAACACATTAACTTGTGTCTTCTTCCTAACAACACAATACAAAACCCCAAAAGATGTATTGAAGAGATGTCGAAACTGACCACTGTCAACCTCGGTTTACCATCTCTATTTTTCCTTTGTATACATACTAGGAGTTATAACTCTCATTACCCTTTCAATCTATTTCCACCTAAACACCTTTTGGACTTTACAGAAACAGGTAATTGTCTATTGCTGCTACTGAATTAGCCCAAATTACAAGTCTAAAAGAAAAAAGGAAAATGAAATGTTTGAGATTGAGAAAGACAGAACCCATGAAAGAGTAAAAAGTACGGAGGATAGTTAGTTATGCTCTCTGTCAATTATCTGGCAGCTCCGGTGCAGAGGTTTCTATTTGGACTTCACACTATTAAAAAAAGCTTTAAAAAAAAAAAGGACAGTTATCAAGTACCAGGCTTTATAACTTATAACTTATATTTTGTAAGAAAGCTAAAATTCATCTCTAATTTAAAAAACACACTTCACTCCAATGAGAAGAGCTTATTTCCCACTTATAAATGGCAAAGCTTTTTTTATTCCCTCTGAAAGAGCCAGGAGGGCTGAAACCAATTTTCCTGCGATGG